CTAAATCACACTTACCTTCATTGCCCCAACAGTCTGTCTTTTCTCCTGATTTGCAGCACGATTTCTAATTTTAACTCATTTTTACTTCATCCCCCACATCCAAAGGGTCTGCTCCTTCCATTTTGTAGGTTTCTGCTCAGATATCTCCAGCCAACAATGATGAACTTAGGCCTAGAGCAGAGAAGAATTTGCTGGTTGTTCCAGGAAATAAGGTAGTTTTGTATGCCAAGGCTTGGCTCATTGCTAGAAGAGGAGCTCAGAATTGTAAATATGAAGGGGCTCCCATTGGCCAAGTAAAGGACAATAGAACATGGGATCATAATTCAGGGACTAAAAAATTTATAATTTATTGATAACTTTTAAGGGAATGCTAAAATGAGATCTGTGTGATCTAGGGGGATGGGATAATTTGATCCAGAGTAGTAGAAACAAGAACACACACCCCAATGGGGGCCAAAGTTTAGTGGGAATTGAGGGACGGCCTTCAGCCATATTGGGCCTTTGGCTGAAGGGATCCAGGAGGTAGTGAGGAATGCCCAATCTACTGCTTCCAAAGCAAAGAGATGAGCAAACTTTTTGTTGATTTGCTGGCTAAAATCCTGTAATTCCCATTAGGTAAAGGCATAGTTCAAGGAAAAAGGTTTCTTTTTGTGATAGACTTGGACCACAGAGTAGTTACAATCCACTTGAAGGTTGTGGAATTATTGTATATCTGGCACTGCCATCCTGTGGAACGTATCCTGGCCTTGTACTTGGTGGGTTAATAAGTGGTCACTCAGAAACTGCGAAGTTGCTTTCACAGCTACATTATGTTGCCTAAACATCCTGGCCTGCTGATAGGGCTGAAGGACATCTGTAGGGTCAAGTGAAGAGTCAGTGTTCTAAGCAAAAGGCCCTTCAGGTTCCCAGAAGTAACGTAGCAATTGTTACCACAATCTGCACATCAGAGGTAGTATCTAGTGCAAAGCTAATAGGGTGCTAACACTGTATTGCCAAGTTGTGTGACCCCCACAAAGTGGCTGGTTATTTTTTATGTGGACTATGAGCAAGTTAGGCTAAAGGGTTTATTTAGATTTTTCCTTGGCAGCATTTTCTCACTTCACACAAACATTTCTTTTTATCAGGGTCTCATGACAGGTCTGTTGAAACATGTCATGTTACAAAGGAAAATAGTTGGGGCCGGGGAGATGGCTTAGTGGAATAAGCGCTTGCCTGGAAAGCACAAAGGCCTGAGTTCAATCCCCAATTCCACATAGAAGAAAAAGAAAAAAAGAAAATTAAAAAAAAAAAACAAAAAACAAAGGAAAATAGTTTACTGCACAAGAGATTCATTGTGTTGTACCGGCCTTTGTGTCTAGCCACTGTCCACCACGGTGGTCCTGAGCTGTGTCATTTGCACCAAGAAATAAGTGATGTAGGCGGAAGTCCTTATTACATGCTGTGTTATCTGGTGAAAGATCATTTGATACAGGACAAATATAACTCTCCACCTATTAGATGCCAAATGTGCTGAGTTCATGGCTTCACAACAACAAGGAATGATGCTGTAAACCGAAGGAGGAAATTAAAAGCTTTATTGAAATCAAGGAGAAGAAAATTAGCTCCTGGACTTCTGGGAGGGGTCCTGCATGGGTAGCCATCCAAGTCCTTTTCAGGGATAATTTATATAGCAAAGTCAAAGTGGGTACAACACAGGTCCAACTACAGTCATCCTATAGGATTACAAGTACACTATAGCTATTTAGCTTATGGTGGCCCAATAGGGAAAGGGGCCATGTAGCAAGAGTACATGGAAAGAACAAAGGCATTTTGGGGAAGAAATGGGTCCAGATGATCCCGTCACCCACCTGGGTGACTGATGTCTATTTGCACCGTTATGGTGTGCGTGTAGTTGTTTCCCCAAAGCCTCATGCAGTCACTAGGTTTCTCAAGTCTGTGATTAACTCATGATCCACTGCTGGGATTATGGGTGGCAGTGCTCCCCCTGCCCTGGGCTGGATAGCCTGCTTCTGACTTAACGAGGGGAGACAGCGGTAGCTGCCACAGCTGCTGCTCCTCTGGTATTGATTCTTGCTTTTTGCTGTTTTCTGCCCCGTGAAGGGCTGCCCCCTACCATGTGAGACTCTGCTTTGGAGCCAACCAAGCATGGACTGAAATCTTCACTAACTGTGAGCTAAATAAACCTTTCTTTCCTTAATTTTGGGTGTTGGATATTTTATCCCAGCAACGAGAGAAAAGACCTAACCAAGACAGACTGAGCTGGGTGGTATTAATGTTAACATAATCTCAATTTGCTGCTTATCCCATAAGAAGGCAGGCAAGCCTGGCCACTGCATGTCCATCGAGGCCTTTCAGTCACAGTGTCAATGTCTTTATAGTTTGTGCTGACTTCCTTGAGGGTCCAGTCCCTCTCTGGCTATATATTAATTTCTCATCTAACTTAGTTTCCTATAATTATTTGGGAGTAGCATATTTACATTGCCACAACATCATTCCGCTGGTATACCAATTAATCATGAAAGGACAAACAGACACTTCTGACAGAAACTACCCGAAGCTCACAATCAAACTTATACTCAACAAAGGGATAAAGTGACATCATATGATTCCCTGTGGGATATACTGCAGACATAATCTACGTAATATATTATCCTGCCCCCATATTGCATAATTTGAATAGAGTGTCTTCTTGATTGGATCTCCATGTTTGAAAAGGAATATAAAAGGACCTTATTGGGACAATGGGTAGAAACTGCATATGGGCAATAAATGCATAATAGTATTGAAACTATGCTCAATTTCCAGAGTGTGGTCATTTCATTTTGCTAATAGAGGAAAATGATCTTACTCTTGGGAGATGAGATGTACACTGAACTATTTAGGAGGAGGTATGATGGTATCTGCAAACAACTAATGGCTGAGGGGGAATGGAAAAAAATAGACACATAGAAGAAAATAGATATGTAGAAATAAAAAGAGAGGGGCTGGAGATACAGCTCAGAAGCATAAGCACCTTTCTGGCAAGCACAAGGACTGGAGTTCAATCCCCAGCCCCATAGGCCATGTGGTCTTGGCCCCGGATGTGGGCACCCACCTTGCCGTCCCAGAACTGGGTATGAGGGAACATGCCTGTAGTCCCAGCACAAGGGAGGTTGAGCCAGGAGGATCTCTGTGAATTTGAGACCAGTCTGGGGGCTACAAAAGTAAGCACAAGGCCAAACAGTACTGCATAGTGAGACTCTGTCTCAAAAAAAAAAAAAAAAGAAGAAAAGAAAAGAAAAAGAGACAAGGGCAATGCCACACATTGAAGAAACACATTGTGAAGAAACACAACACTTTGTTGAAACACACCACATTATAAAGGACAGTAGTAACACTATTTCCTACTGAGCTGTACCTTGTACTTAGCTGCTGCTTCTAGGTACAAAGGTGTTTGCTATATGTTCAAATGCTTTTGTTTATATCTTTTGTGATGCTGTGGATGTGACCCAGGACTTTGTTCACACTAGGCAGATGCTTTTCCATAGAGTTACAGCCCTACCTGTTTCACTTTGTTTGAATACTTCATGTATTCAAAATAAAAAGCTGCAGAAAAAAAATCTATAAGGGATGCACCCACCAGATTTCTCTACCAGCTGGGTCTTGTCTACCTGTCAGGTGTGAAGTCAGGAGACATCTGCCCCTGCCCACCCCTTCAGGGGCCACCTCGCCTTCCATAGTCTGGCCCCCATCTGATGGAGGCAAGTCAATAAGACGTGGCCAATCTGGGCCGAAAGGCCAAGGCCAACCTGTCTTACCACCATGAGGTCGGCTCATGTTCTGTGATTTGCCAAGATGTAAAACAAGCGCCTACCTCTGAATCGAGGCAGTGCCGACAGACCAAAGTCCAGCTTGATAAGTGAACTCATTCACTAAAAGCTACTTACAGAGCAGTGGATGGCTTGCGACCATCAGTGCACTACGCGAGTCATGCCCTCTTTGCTAAGTTTCTGTTTATACATTACTCTTGGTCACATGAGGGGGGGAGGCGGGGGAGGGGGAACAGAAGGAAAACCAGAATCCGTGGGAAGAATTATGTGTTTGTGTATTCAGCTCCTGTCTTTATTAGGAAACATACTGGTCTCTGCTTCCACTGTCAAGGCAGTGACGAATGACCTTGTGGCGCTGGGGTCTGGTGCGCAGCTTCAGCACCGGGCAGAGCCTACAGGGACAGCTGACAGCCTACTATGAAATGGTGTTACTGTGCTTAGGGTTCAAGAGATCTCCTCCCTATGGATTCTGGCTCAATTTACCCTTTTGCCCAATCCTACTGTCTGCCCCCTTCCCAGTTCCCTCATTATGATACCGCTTAAGGATGCTACCCTAAGCTCCACCTCCAGGTCCCTTCCCGGGAGACCCAGCCAGGAAAGGTCTCCTGGGAGCAAACCTTTCAGGGCATCCCTACCTAAAACTGCCCCGCCAGACCTCGTCCTTTGTCTTTCTCCGTATCCTTTCTCACCGTCACCCATCTCTAAGTTTACTTGATTATGTGTTTATGGTGCGTTCCCTTCCCTCCAGAACACGAGCCCCAGGTGCAGGGATTTCGTCTGTTTTGCACTTTGCTGAACACAAAGCTCCTCCTCCAAAGCCCTTAGAGAGCCAGAAACAGGCTCTGGGAGTGTCATGCCCACCCAACCAGTAAAACTACAAGTCTCGCGCATCCTCAGTGAGACCCACAAGGTTTCCCGGGCGCTAGTCGGTCGCGAGTCCCTGGTCCTGGTCCTGCCCTACGCACGTCCCGGGACGTCCCAGGTTACCCGACCGCATCCTCCCGAGGTCGAGACCTGGGCGGGGCTAGGGGCGAGCTCGGGCTGTCAATATCGGATCCGCAGCTGCCTAGTGGCGCGCGCGGTGGGCCCGTAGTCAGCTCAGATGCCTCGTCCAATGGCCGCGTGCAGAGCCGCCGACCGCCCAGGACCCGTCTCCGATTGGTCGTTTATCACAATACGTCATGTAGGGGCGGGGCCTCAGGCTCCCACAAGGTGGCGAGATTGGCACCTGGCCTGAAGCACGCTGTTGTCCACCGGACCCGACCAAGGTGGGCAAACAGGTGAGCGGTACGTGTACGCAGATGGGGGTCGCGTGCGCCGGTTAGAACGGGATGGCTACACAGGAGGGCAGGGGAGATGGACGCGAATATAGGTTAGATAAGACTGCAGGCGATGAGGGAGGAGCGCGCAGCGGGGCGAGGGTCCAGCTCACCGATGGGGAGCTGCCGGTGCTTGGTGAGTGGGGCACCCCTTGGCCCTCCCGGTACCCTAGGTAGTGACTTTTTCCTTCTGAGCCCGTCTCAGTGACTCCCTTAATAAAATTTTGAATAATCAATCCCATTCTACCCCAAAATATAGGGATGGGATCCTTGGAGTGATGAACTGAGGAAGCTTAGGGAACAGTGAGGCCAGGTGGTGGCTTGGACAGCTTCAGGGTCCAGGGAAGCTCCCAGACTGGTGACAGGAACAGGTGTGAGGAGGACAGTAAGTCATTTTGATATAGGGTGTGTTATATAGGACCTCAAAATAATCCAAATAATGTGAGGATGTTTAACTGCCTACGTGCTAGACATCTGTGTTCTGTAAAATTGGAAAGATGACTTACAGGAGCAAGGAAGGTTAACAGTAGGAAGTACTTATTCAGAGAAAGAAAGTTCTGTCTAAGAGACAGAAGGGGTTCCCGAGTGGGTACCCCAGGGAACCTGTTTTCTCAAGGGAGTTTTATAGACTAAAACCACTAGGTGAGACGGGAATAATTTGGGACAAAATTGATAAGATTACAAGTGTGGTCCAAGAGGTAATAGTGATCCAATGGAAAATCACAAGGTGGATATAAAGTGGGACAAAATTATGATCAAACAATAAGGGTATGAGTACAGTCGCTTAGGTAATATTGCTTAACTGGAGATCGAATGGGGAAGCGAGTTACATAACAAGCTTGCAGGGAAGGAACAAGGACCTTCAGGGTAGGAACGGGCTAGGAAGGTTTGGTCCTCCACCCAAGTTGAGTAATGCCTACTTAGAATGTCAGTCATTGCTGATCCTTCCAAGGGAAATGTGTGGGTGCAATCGTTTCTCTTTAGTTTGAAGCCTGACCTTCAATGGCTGCAGCTCCAGCTACAGTTGTCTTTTGTGCTAACCCTTTCCAAGGGCCTACCCTTGTCTGACTACCTATAATTCTAAGACCTTAGCTTCCTATAATAATTCCACTTTCAGAATCCCTTTTCTCTCAATAACCCGGATGGTTGCAGAGCCAAATAGCAGAAATAACTAAGCACTATTCATTCTGGAAATTGACCCCTCCGATGCCATTTGGGAATGGATGTGTATTTAATGATTAAAACATTTGTAGAATGATAATCTGGAAGAATACATGCCACAGTTTAATGACATCTGGGATAGATAGGAGGAAAGAGAAAAGATTCCCCTCCTACGTATGACTTAGACATTCCTGTTACGGTGAGCATGTATTTTGTAACTTTTGAAAAGCAGAAGCCCTGTAGCTTCAGTTAACAGGATTTTACCTTTGAAATTTAGGGACCAGTCTCTGAGCACTTTTTCCATACAGGTGTCCTTGCTTGTGTGATTTTTTTTTTCTGTTGATCATCAATTATTTCCATTATTTTGCAAATTGTATACACATGCTCATGGAAGTTATTGTATCTGCTTGTTTATGCAACCTTATAAACATATTTCCTAGGATGAACTGCTACTGGTATGTGCTGGCGCACCATCTGAGGCTACCTGGCCTCTATGACTATTCTCACACAAGACAGGCTTCCATTTCTAGTTGTAGCATTCTTTTTATCTTTATCTTTTCTTTTTCTTTTTCTTTTCAGTACAGGGGTTCAAACTTGGGACTTTGTACTTGCCACGCAGACGCTTATACCACTGAGTTGTATTCTAAGCCCCAGAAGTCCTTTTATCTTGAAAACCAATTTGAAGTGCATCTATTTTTTTTTCCTTCCCTACCATTCCTGAGGAATTAGACTTTCTGCTATTCCCATAATGTTCCAACTAAGTAAATGTGTTCCTATGTGAAAGGCCCTTAGAATACTTAAAATAACACCCAAAAAGTTATCTCCCAGTATCTTCATTACTTCAGATTTTACTGGAGATTTTCCTCCCAAATGTGTTACAGAAGCTGCAGTTCTCCCAGACCCATCTTTGTCCCTACAGATCTATTAGCAGTGAACAAGTCACTCCATGTTCCTCATCCTCAACTTCTTCATCTCTAAAGAGAGCATACCGATGCTAATTCTTCGGGTGGGCATGAGAGTTCAGTGAGGTAATGGGCGCTTGGCACTTGGTAGATGCTATATAGTAGCTGTCTGTGACAGGCGGTATCATCCATGGATGCCCCCAACCTAAGTGCATATTCTAATTCATTGCCCCATTCCCACCAAGAGTGGAGTCTGATTTCTAGCCCTTGAATGATGGTGAGCTTGTGGTCAATGGGATCTGGTAGGAGCAATGTCATGTCCCTCAGAGGTCAACTCAGAAGAGACTTCTGCTTTGTGTAAGGAACCCTTTCTGTATCCTCCTTGTAATGATCTCATTGCCTTGAGGTCACTGCTCTACGAGAAGCCCAAGCCAGCCTGCCTAGGAGACCACAGGGAGAGGGGCCCCAGCGCACAGCTGAGTGAACCCTGCAAGGTACCCCCACAGCCCTGGCTTAAGCCATTGCTGTCCACACCATCTCCCCCCAAATTTCTGACTTAAAGAAGCCATAAGAGATGATGGAAAAGCTTGTTTGAAGCCTCTGAACTCCAGTGATTTGCTCTGTGACTGCCAGCCAAAATGCTCTATGGCTCGTCATTGTAGGCCATCTTGGCCTGTTGATTTTATAGTCGCCTCTGCCAGTCTCACCTGGATGAGACCTCAGGCCTGGGATGGTGCTGATGGCTACGCAGGTAAGAGCTGACTCAAGGTGAGCCCTTGGAAGGCCGGTCACATGTGACCCTGAGCACGTTGGCACCTGTGATCTTATTTACCTGGTCTTATTGACATGGTTACTTTGCAGAAAAGGGAGCTGGAGCTTAGCCAGCACAAGGTAAGGGCTCAAGGTCACACATCTTGGACTGTCCAAGTGATGACACCCTGCAAACAGACTGATTGCACTGAGAACTCACAGCCTCTTCTGTAGTCTCAGATCATTAAACTATCCTGAGGCCAAAAGGTCCTCAGCATCTTCATTTCCCTTGCAGGGCTCTGCACAGCCTGGGGAGACAGCTCCAGCACCTTGTGGAACTGAAGAGCCTGGACGCTGTTAAAAACAGTACAAGAAAGGAACTTCATTTCGCTTTGGAGCACTTGGTCGGGGGTTAGAGGTGAGTGTCCCCCAGAGCACTGCTGAGCCTGGGCACCGCTGGTAACTGTGCAGCTTTGAAAAGTAAGAACAAAGTGGTGCACTGGGTGCCAACTGTCACCTACTCTTTGGAATGCTGAGGAATAAAGTAAAATGTCCTCAGAGCCCCTCACCCTCCTCTCTTTCCAGCCACTGTTGCAAAGCTGATTCATTTGTGTTAATTACGGAACTCAGTACTGGGACAGAAGAGGGAAGCTGAGGGCGTGAACTCTGAATAAGCTTACATTAACTTTTTTTTTTTTTTTTCTAGTACTGGGAATTGTATCCAGGGCCTTTGTGCTGTGCTACCTCCCCAACTGTATTTTTAATTTTTTTTTTTTTTTTTTTTCTTTTTGTAATGTGTTTGGTACAGGGTCTCACTATACAGCTCAGACTCATAGTGATCCTTCTGTCTTAGCCTCCCCAGAGCTGGGATTACAGGCATGCGTTTAACTTTTTTTGAGAGAGTTTCACTAAGTTGCCCAGGCTGGGCTTGAATTTGTGACCTGTCTGCCTCAGTTTACTAAGGTGCTGGGATTACAAGTGTTTACCACCATGTCTGGCTTTGATTTTAATTCCTTTAATCACTCGACAGCATTTTCCTGCGGCTTTTTTTAGTTGTGAGTATATATATTTTATGGCCTTTTTCCATTTTTATGGCATGTTTGATATTCAAGGGATTATGCTGGTACAAAGCACTGTCTCCTTGGGGAAACCTTTTCCTTGGGGTGTGAAGAAGGCCAGTCCCCTATATGATTTCCTGTGAGGCCCATGTGGACTCAGCATTCAGGATTCACCCAGTGAAGGGGGAAACCAGGGATCAGAGGTGCCTGAATTTATATGTTTGGCTGGGGAAAATGAACAGGGCTGTATCTCAAGGTGTAGGTATTTCTGCTCAGTAAGAGGCTTTGTCAAAACAAGCTGGAGCCCAGCACAGTGGTGCACGCCTGTCACCTGAGCACTCTGGGAGGCTGAGGCAGGAAGATCAAGAGTTCGTGCTCAGTGTGGGCAATTTAATGATTTAGTGAGAACTTGTCGCAAAATAAAAAAAAAAAAACAGTCTGGGGGTTTAGTTTAGTGTGAAGGTCCTAGGTTCAACCTCTAGTAGTGAAAACTCCCCCGACGATCTGGCCCAACCAGTGTTGCTGTTGCTGCAGGGTGAATGCTTCCCAGGAGCCCTTTTCTTTCGTCCGTGCCAAGGTTTGTGCCCTGTGGGAGCCACACAGACAGGCCTGGCCCCTGCCCACCAAGATGTGTTATGGACATGCCCTGCGCCCCATTAGGAAGGTGACCGTGTACTACACACGTGTACTGCTAAAACAACACAACCGGAAGAAAAAACAGTTAGTGTGGGCATAGAAGCCTAGGTTGAGAGTTTCCCGTAGAATTTCAGAGTGTTCTGTTGTTGTCATCTGAGATTTAGCTTGTTGTGGAGAAGTTCAAGTTTACTGTATTGCTTAATCCTGGCTTTCTCTGAAATCATTCCAAGATTATCTTTTTTGTGTGTGTGAGTGGTACTAGAGACTACCCAGGGCCATCTCAATCCCGTTTTTAACATTTTATTTATGTATTTATTTTTATTTTTATATTTTGATGAAACCAGCGATTGAACCCAGGCCCTTGTGCTTGCCAGGCAAGCACTTATTCTACTGAGCTATCTCCCTGGCCCTTTAAAACTTTGAGATAAGTTCTCATGAAGTTACTAAATTACCTGGGCTGGGCTTAAATTTGCAATCTTCCTGCTTCAGCCTCCCAGCTTGCTGGGATTATGGATGTCCACCATGTTCCCTGGCTCAAGTTCTTTATAAAATCCTATATTTAGAGCTTTACAAGCTGAGTTTTGGGAGTGGGCACGTCACTGCATCCCCCAAATTATAACCATCTAGAGCAGCTGCAGTACCTGAGAAGTTGCTTCCTGCCCCTCCCTTTGGTAGGGGGATTATTGAGCACCCTTTGAGACACTCTTCTAGGTCGTAGGGGTGGAGTGGTAAGTAAAACATAAGATGCCTGCCCACAGGAAGCTTGCTCTCTTGTGGAGGGAGACAGATGGTCCCCTGAACACAGGTAAAACAATTCTACATGGTAAGGAAAGTTGCTCAGAAATTGTACAGGCCATGTACCTTGAGTGGACACATGAAGAAGAGATACTTTTGTTTGGCTAGTGAGGGGAGGTCTACTGCAGAGGGGACACTTCATGTAAGTCCTAAACAAGGCCACTTGCAGACATGTATAAGCAGAGGAAGTAGCAGGTCCCAGTGCGAGATGATCGAAATTCAAGGATGAAGAAAGACCTCAGGTACCTGGGGTAGAGCGAAGAAAGCAGACTTGGGAAGACCAGGTAGGACTGGATCACAGGCTTGGGAGAGTCTCGGGCCGGAAGCTCTCTTTCCCTTTTAAAATCTACTGTCGGGGCAAGGTCCTGAGAAGGCATGCGGAGAAGGCCAACATCGCAAGGCCAAAGTCCTGCAAGACGCAGCAGGAACAGGGAGTTGTTTCTGGGGAGATCTGAGCAAAGTTTCTCTTTCTCTCAGGGCCCAATGGCTTCAAAATCCCAGCCCAAAGTACCCAAAACTGGGAGCCCAGCGAGCTTCACCAATGGCAAGGCTGAATCTCAGGGACAGTGGGGCCGCGCCTGGTAAGGGTCTCCACCTTTCTTCCAGCTAGAAGGTAAAGAGGGACCTCAGAGGTTTTAAGCCCTGGGGATGTTATCGACCTATTTTTTTAAAATCCCTTTTTGTTAACATTTATGAAAGATAAGCAACTGTCTGCGCTATAAAGTAAAAAGCTTAAAAAGGAATTTAAAAAAAGAAACTGGAAACCATTTTAGGTTAAGTATCCCTTTTCTGAAGTGCTTGCGATCAGGAGTGGTTCAGATTTCTGAGTTTTTGCAGATCCTGGGCAATTTGCATATGCAAATGAGATCCCAGAGAAGGCCCTAAATGTAAATGCAAAATCAATTTATATTTTATGAACACCTTATACGCATAGTCTTAAGGTAACATGATATCATATTCTTGGTGCTTCTAAGGTCCGAATGTGACTTGTCACATGAGGTCAAGTGTGAAAATTTCCATTTGTGACATCAAGTTAGTGTGGAATAAGTTTGAGATTTTGGAGCATTTGGGAATTAGGGGTGCTCCAGCTCTGTCACCAGCGATGGAAGGAAGGGAATATGGACCTGAAAGTGTCCTCACTGCCGTCATGGTCATTGGCTCACTGAGCAGTGTGAGCATCAGGTGGGGACTGCTCATCCTCACTGGGCTGGACTGAGGAAGCCATTGGCCTTAAAGGCCAAGAAGGTCCCTGTATTTGTGTCCTGGGCTTCACCCACTTGCCCATAGATTGATCTGGCAGGTGGCAGAGTGACATGTTGGTGGTCCTTCCTGCGTTGGGGAGCTTTCTACAAACAGCCAGCACCCCAATCTGACAAGGTGCTGGGAGGTGTGAACAGCAGTCCCAAACAGGAGGGCATCTCAGAGTCGCCTGTGAGCTGACAGCTGGGCCCTGCTGTGACCCCTCGTCATCCTCCTTGCAGGGAAGTGGACTGGTTCTCCCTGGCCAGCGTCATGTTCCTGCTGCTCTTCGCACCCTTCATTGTATACTACTTCATCATGGCGTGTGACCAGTACAGCTGCTCTCTGACTGCCCCTGTGCTGCACGTAATCACTGGGCATGCCAGTCTCGCAGACATCTGGGCCAAGACCCCACCTGTGACAATGAAAGCTGCCCAGATCTACACCTTGTGGGTCACCTTCCAGGTCAGTCCCCTGCCCTGGTGGTCAGGGCCCAGTGGTGGCCACCTAGAGTATCGTCTTGCCTTTGTCTTGACTTGGATGGGTGTTCCCAGTCTCAGGATCCAGCAGGGTGACACCTGGAAGCAGGTATGCTTAGGGCCGCGTCAGCAAGAGGACTCGAGGTGCCTGTCAGCATCTCAGTGTAAGGTTGCCTCACTGAACTTGGGTGTGTACCCAGCTGTGCTGAGACGTGCTGCAGACTAGGAATAAGACTGTGTGTGTCAGGGGCACAGGTGGTCCAAAGAAGCACCCCACACAGCTGGGACCAGATCCTACACAAACCTGTAGGAAGGCGGTCCCAGCCCTCACAGGGCTACTATCCAGCAAAGCCAAGATTAGTATTTCCCAACATGCTGCTGTGCAGCCCTGGCCTAGGAGGTCGGCAGGAAGGGACAGCCTTCCCAGTGGACTGGGTCAGACATAGCTGAGTTGCTCTGTGTCTGAACCTAGCATCAGGCCTCCAGAAGGAAGGCTTGCACTAGGGTCATTGTTTCTCTTAGGACCAGTCTCTTGGGGTACAGATTCCTTCTCTTGGCATCCCTTAGTGCTTTGGATAAGAAGTGCTAGGGGCAGCACGATTGTCAAAAGCTATAGTGGGAATGACCCAGTTGTCCATCAGTAGAGGACTGGTTAAACAGTGGGTGCTCCCCCATCCACGGGTTGATACCAGGCTGTGAAAAGGAAGATCCATCTTGTGTGACTGCATTATTGTGAAATAGCAGTAGTTGTCAGGATCTTGGAGGAGGAAGGAATGGGGGCAGCTGCCACTGGTAATGAGGTTCTCCTTATGAGAAAGTTCTGGAACTAGGTGGTGGCACTAGTTGCTTAATCTCATGAGTACAGCAAATACTGCTGAACTGTACACCTCGGAAGGGCGGTTTTCATAATGTGCAAACTGTTTATCTTCAAGGTTATCAAACTTGAAGTCCCCCAGAAGGGGCCAGGGAAGAAACAGTGCCTTCTCCTGGGAGGCAGTGCGGCCCTCCTGGGAGAAGACTGCTCGATGAGCGGTCAGGGGATTCCTGCTCCTGCGTCCCTTTGCTGGCCCTGCAGCCCGAGCTCACAGCAGCCGTGGGCGCCTCTCATGCTCATGTCTCTTGCTCCTGCTCTGCTGCAGATAAAAACCAAGCCAGGTCAACACTAGCAGCTGTGTGCTGCCAATCACTGGCCCCAAATCTTGTTTCAGGTGCTTCTGTACATGTTGCTGCCCGACTTCTGCCACAAATTTGTGCCAGGCTACGTGGGAGGAGTTCAGGAGGGGGCGGTGACACCTGCAGGTAACCTGCGCCAGGTCTGACCCTACCCTAGGCCTCTTTCTCAGGCTGGTGGGCATCTGGCCACTGCTGGCCTGGGGCTTAAGTCTGGGCCCTGAGCTCTTTATACTGTGTGAATTCCGTAGACTGCTCACAAGATAAAGTAAGTTTAGCACGGCAATCTTCAGTAGCACCAGATCTTGAGGTGAGCTGTGGCAACTAGGCTGTCCCAGGCTGGAAACCACTTTCTGAAGGCAGATGCCTAACCTCCAGCTTCCTCCCCACAGCAGTCCCCTCACCCAATCCCAACCCTAACCCCATTGCAACACTAACCTCATCCTAATCCCAGCCTTAACCCTAACCCAAACCCAACCTAACGGTAATCGTAACCCTACCCCAACCACCACCCTAACCCATTCCTCCTTCATCACTGAGAACCTGTGAGGAGTCTGGCTTCACGTACACATAGTGATGCAGGTAGGAATCACACCCCCAACTCTGCTCACAAAAAACAACAACAAGGGAAACTGCTTTTGCCACTCCCCCCAACTTCACTAACAAGGGGCAGTCCCATTAGGACAGTAAGAACCAGAGGCTCCCAAAACTCCACAAGAGCAGTCAGCCCTTCCAGCCACTGTTGGGGCTACCACTGGCTTGCGAGCCTGGGAGGGCTATAGAAGCTGGCCAGCTTCTGGGATGGTGCCCACATGCCCTGGGCCAGGGGTGTGCGGGGCTAGGGCCATGGAATATGTGGGGCCTGGTCCAGCACATACAGCCAGGTCAGGTGACTGACCCAGGTCAGGAAAGTGCTTTGATTTTTAAACCTTCCCTCTGCAGGAGTTGTCAACAAGTATCAGGTCAATGGCCTCCAAGCCTGGCTCATCACACATCTCCTCTGGTTTGCTAACTCCCACTTCCTGTTCTGGTTCTCACCCACCATCATCTTTGACAACTGGATCCCACTGCTATGGTGTGCCAACATCCTTGGCTATGCTGTGTCCACGTTTGTCATGATCAAGGGCTACCTCTTCCCCACCAACGCCAACGACTGGTATGTCCTTGTAGTTGATCAGACCCAGAAAGGAAAGTGGCTACCTCTGCTCTGACCTGTATCTGCTGCCCTGGGATGAGAAGGTGGGAAGCCCTTGAAGAAAGGGCTGGCTCAGACTTGCCTGAATCTCAGGCAAATGTCCTTCCTAAGTGGCTGGTGGTTTCTCCCAGAAGGTAGCTGAACCTAGCGAGTCTGTCTGTGGTGGCTAAGTCATTACCGATCTCTACTTGTCTATCATGGAAATAGAGAAGCCAGAAAGACAGGTTTGGCTGGGGTCGGGTACAGCCCAGGGCCTGTCTTTGGTGTCTCCAGAGGAAAGGGGCTTGTTGTCTCATTAGCTTTAAGGTAAGTGCTTCCCGGGAGAGCCCTGGCATTGGCACTCATTCTCATGGAAGCCTTGGGTTATGCAGTGGTCACCCTGCCATCCTGTCCCATCTCAACCTTTTCTCCCTCCTTCTTTTTCTCCCTCCATCCATCTACCCATCCATCAACAGGTTGTAGATAGTCGGAGAGAGTGGGGTTCACAGTTCATCTGGGGGCCCGAATAAAAATGAGTGCTTCCTTTAACTGTTATGCCTAGGCCCTTGGGAAAGGTCTATGGATGATAATGTCATGTAGATTATGTGTCATCAAGTAAGAAGGCTGACCTTCTGTGGCTCCCACGGGTCGTTCTTACTGCTTTGTATTCATCAACTGTTACGCGCTTCATATGTTTATATGTTTTGCCTCTTTCCATCTAGATTAACTGAAGTAGTGAAACATAAAATTGATGTTTTAGTAAATACAAAAATACCTAAGTTTGTATAGCAAGTTGTACCTAACGGAATTCCATGTGGGTCGTCTTGGCTGATTCCCTGTCCTTTCCTGGGGTGGCATGTGGGGCCAGGTAACCGAGGTGATAATGGGCCCAGGAAGGGAGAGGTGTGGGCACTGGGGTCCAGGCACCCAGCTGTGAGTACTGTGCCTTTTTTATTCCCTACTGTGGCATAATGGGTGGCCTCACTAGCTCCAGGGCCAAGTACTCTGTGCCTCCTTGCCTGTGTGGGCTGCAGAAGGCAACCTTAGTCCGGTTGGACCAGTGTTGCTTTTCATCTGTGCCTGCACTGAGGGTACCTGGAGAAGGGTGAACAGAGGCTTGGTACCAGCCAGGTACAGTCCCTAAGCTTTCCCTGGGACAGTAGGCAATTAATTTACGCACTCCTGCCTGAGGACAGCCCTGTTGAACCACAGTGAACACAGGGAGACTATAGAAGCTTTGGGGAGTGAGGGGAGGGGAGGACAGAAGCATCCCCCGCTGTGTGGTCTTTGCAGCCTCCAGCAAGTCTTCCTGAGGTGACCTCCTTGACCTGTTGGCTCACTAGGCCTGTGTTGGGCACCTGCTCCCACAGAAGAGAGATGGGCTACTTTCAGTGAGATAGATTCCTTGACTAAACAGATCGTGTATTTTTAAGCAAATTCACAGGCAACTTCTTTTACAACTACATGATGGGTATTGAGTTTAACCCTCGAATTGGGAAGTGGTTTGACTTCAAGCTGTTCTTCAACGGACGCCCTGGGATTGTGGCGTGGACCCTTATCAACCTGTCCTATGCAGCGAAGCAGCAGGAGCTGTATGGCCAGGTGACCAACTCCATGGTCCTGGTCAATGTCCTACAGGTAAAGTCTATTTGTAGCCAGAGCAGAGCATCTCCATTGCCTACCAGAAAAGCCCCAAAGCCAGAAAAATTCACCTGCTCTAATCCCCTGCTATGCAGTCTTCCCCTGCCTGGACCTCACAGTGAGGGTGTGGTGGAAGATGCCGTCACTGCTTGCCCAGCATGAAGTCCCAGCAGGACTGCTCTGGGGAGGTCTCCTTGGGGGCTATACTCAGGGGGAATGGACACAGGAGTTCCAGGCAAGAAGTAGGAGGGGAGCTCCAGGTAGCATGACCAGTCCACGCAGGCCTTTATACTCGGAGACACAGCCCCTGTACTGTGTCGAGCAGAGAGCAGCCTGGGAGCTCAGGGGTGGGTCATCTGGGTCCTTAGGGGAGGCTCATTTTTTTTTGTCAAAGTAGTGAGACCTAAGGAGGGTGTCCTAAGCAGGACAATAATGGTATGGCCCAGGGATAGTCACTGGCTACTCAGTGGGCACAGCTGGGTGGGCCCAGGGGTAAAGGAGGCCAGTTAGGAGTCTAAGGACGTGGCCGGGCTGAGTGACCTGGGTGCTGAACCGGGGATGGACCACAGGGGCCTGAATCCAGTCCCTTCCAGGAACTCTGGTGTGTAGGTGGCCTGTGGCAGGTGCCACTCTAGGACCTGAGATGTAGGCCAGGTGGGACAGTCAGGCCTGGGCCTCACTGAGCTTGTGAACCAGTGGGTGATGAGAAAAGGCTTTTCTTCTGGAGCAGCTGCCATGTAGTCTGTAGTCTTCCACCTTTGTGGCTTCTTCCGCACCAGGCAGAAGGGAGGGCCAGGGCAGAGGGCTGACTACCACAGGAGCCCAGGACCAGCTTTGCTGGACCAAGTGCCCGGCACATCCGAGGCCTGAGCAGCAGAGCCGGTGTGTGGATGTCGTGGACCCATCCTGGGTCCTTGCTGGCTGCGTGCTCTCTCTCTGAAAGAGTGCCACATGTAGGATCTCACTTTTTTTGTCCCAGGGGACATCTGTTAACATCTGAGCATCTGTGGGTCCTGGAAGCCTGGGTCTGGCCTCTGGAAGGTCACGTGGTCCCAGTCAGTCACAGCATGTGGCCTCTGCAATATCTGCCCCATAGAGTCCCTCTCTGAGGGTGAGGAGTGACGGGAGGGACTCACTTCTGCCTTTGTCACCCTGTGTGAGCAGACATTGGTCTCCTTGGCCCTGTGGAGGCACAACAGTCGCCTGGTCAGGCAGCCACATAGTGTGTGTTGTGCACAGGGGCAGCCAGTGGAGCAGACTCCAGGACACTCAGCCAGTGGGTTTCCTGCTGGACTATGGTGTTGGGAGTCACTTCCTTGGACAGTGTTCCCAAGTTCTTGTGCCCTGAGTGATTTGTCTGCTCCTGAGTTCCATGGCCCTGAGCTTTGGGCTCCCAGGAACACTGCTCAGAATCCTTCTGACTATGCAGCCCTCCTTGTCCTCTGATGGAAGCAGGCTTTGAGAGCAGGGACTCCCCATGTTCCAGGCATGGCTGAGAATGCAGGAACAGCTCTGCGTGCCCATCAGGAAAGTCACTGAGCAGTGACCCAGGTGCCACCTCCTGCCCATGCAGGTGGGGTCATTCTCCAAGTCCCCCACCGAGTGCTGGGGAACAGCAGAGGTAACTGGCAGCTCCTGTCTTACAGGCCATCTATGTGCTGGACTTCTTCTGGAATGAAACCTGGTACCTGAAGACCATTGACATCTGTCATGACCACTTCGGCTGGTACCTGGGCTGGGGCGACTGTGTGTGGCTGCCCTATCTGTATACATTGCAGGTGAGGGGGCCCAGGGCAGCAGGACAAGTACCTCTGGGATGTGGTGACCAGGGCCATGGCCCCCAGTTCTTAGGACTCCCCAGTTGACCTCAAACAGACACTGTTCCTCATGCTAAGCTTTACTCCTTGCACAAACTTTAGTCCTTGGGGATCACTGAAATTGCCCCCCTGTGTTAGGAAGAAGGAAAGGCTCCGTGTAGCACAGGTGCTCCTCAGCTTAGGATGGGGCTTTGTCCCAAATGCCCTTCATATGATGAAAATTCAAAATGCAAAAACCTAGAGATAGCTTGCCCTTGCCCCCTTAGCCATACCTCAGCTCACAGCTGGGCAGAGTCACCTGACATAAAGCGTGTTCTGAATGTTGCCAGCTTTCTGTGATGTGCTGGGCCTGGACCTGAGAGTAGACAGCTTTTAGAATGGCCATGAGTGGTCTTTCCTCCATCATAAGTCCAGCCTCCATCAGTCAGAGTGGGCCATCTGCATTCTGCTCTGAGTGTCCTAGGGACCTGCGTTCGCCCCAAGGTGGGACCATCAATTTGGGGAAGTAGTCACGATCACGACCCTGATCACCTCTGCAAAGTCTGGGCAGGCAGCCCCTATCCCAGCCGGGCTAGTCCCTCATCTGGGCTCTTCATTCCTGGTCCTGGGACAGGCCAGGACGTCCCTGAGGCAGAGAGGGCTGTGAGAGGATGGCCACTAAGTTCCTCCATGTACCTGGGAGCAGCCCTGAGGATTTGGGAGCAGCCTGAGAAGTTATACAGGAGGGAAGAAGACTGGTGTGGCGGCCCACCAGCTGCCCAGGGTGTGAGCGGCCCAGGGGGTGTGGCCAGTCATCGGGACAGTGTGGGTGTATGTGTGCTGTGCTCATTGTTTTGCTCCTGTGCTGGTGGTATCTGGCAGGTTCCAAGTCTTTAGGGCAGGCCAGAAGCCCAGGGAGAGTTGAGGCTGCAGTTCAAGTCAGAGGGCTATCTCCTGGCAGAATCTCTGCTCTGGGGATTAGTCTTTTTCTTTTAAGGCTACCAACTGATTGGACAAGACCTGCCCATATTATGGAGAGTTATCTGCTCTGTTTTATACATTAATCTCATCCAAATAAATATACCTTATAATTGCTAGTGTTTGACCAAATACCTGGATACAGAGGCCTACCCGAGTAGACAGTTGAAACTAATCATCATCATGTTATATTTAAATTTTATTTTATATACACGATTGACTATTTTACATTTATGCAATATATGCTATACATTCCTCAATTTACTGTGGTTTAACTTAATAGTTTTTGGACTTCTGATGATATGAGAGTGATACGTATTTTGTACCAAGGTGCTTGGAATGTGGAATTTTAATCTTATCCTAGGAGAGCAGTAAGTTGCAGTGTGATCTTCTTTCTCACTGCTGGGCTGAGGGGTAGCAGCGGCCATGGCCCTAGGGTGCTGTGCTAAGCTAGGGTGCCCAGGAGGGTAGGTGTATTAAGTGCTCTGTGTGTGTGTGTGTGTGTGTGTGTGTGTGCGCGTGTATGTGTGTGTATGTGTCTAGCAGTTGAATCCAGGGCCCTCTCATTGAGTTATATCCCCAGCCCCTAAATTTTATTTTGAGATTGGGTGTTAGTAAGTTTACCCAGATTGGGTTCAACTTGCAGTCCTCCTGTCTCAGCCTCTTAAGAGTATTGGAATTGCAGGAGCGCAACCCTGTGTCCAGCTGTTAGATGATTTTTGATTTATCCTATTTTCGGCTTACACTGGGGTTATTAGGACTTAGTCCAGTTGTAAGTTGAGTGTGTGTGTGTGTGTGTGTGTATGTGTGTGCAAAGGTAGGTAGGGCGTAGATGGATCTGTAGGCACATTTGTGTATTTGTGCACTTGAGACCCACAGCAACCTTCCCAGCAGAGGCTTTTATTCACAGAGGAGGAGCCTGAGGTAGCGCATGCCCTAGCTCTGGGGTGTGCCTCTCCCCGCTCCTCCCTGGTGGCAGCTTTTCACCATGTGCTTCTCTCTCCCAGGGTCTGTATCTGGTGTACCACCCCGTGCAGCTCTCCACCCCTCACGCTGTGGGCGTCCTGGCACTCGGCCTGCTGGGCTACTACATCTTCCGCATGGCCAACCATCAGAAGGACCTATTCCGCAGGACGGATGGGCGCTGCCTCATCTGGGGCCAGAAGCCCAAGGCCATTGAGTGCTCGTACACGTCGGCTGATGGCCAGAAGCATCACAGTAAGCTGCTAGTGTCAGGCTTCTGGGGCATGGCCCGCCACCTCAACTACACGGGCGATCTGTTGGGCAGCCTGGCCTACTGCCTGGCCTGTGGCGGGAGCCACCTCCTGCCCTACTTCTACTTCATCTACATGACCATCCTGCTGACCCATCGCTGCCTCCGCGACGAGCACCGCTGCGCCAGCAAGTACGGCCGGGACTGGGCACGCTACACTGCCGCTGTGCCCTACCGCCTGCTACCTGGCATCTTCTAAGAGAGCATCCCTTGACAGCTCCGGGGTTGGCAGACTCTAGAAAAGCATGTGGAGCTGGTCGATGGGAGCGTGCCCTCCAGAGCCTCAGTTTCCTCATCTGTGAGACAGAAAGAGCCTGGCACTTGGCAGGTGTCCAGCTGACGCTAGCACTCATTCCATCCCCTGTCCTCAGGGGAGCTCTGACTACACCAGCTGCCTTCCCATCAGCACAAAGGACTGCTTTTCTCTGTTGGGTATGCCACGGGCAGGCGGGTGACCTGGTCACCTGGAATAGCCTTGGTAACAGTTTTTTGTATCAGGAGTCCAGGGTGTCTCTCTGTCTGGACAAAGGAGTGTCTGGGCCTCACCAGGCCACCTTCTGGCTCCCACTGCTTAGGCCTTATTCTTACTAAACAAAAGTTTGTGGGATCCGTAAGGTGTGCAGGGTGTCCACGTCTGCCTTTGGCATCTGCCCCGCTGTGGTGGGCCAGGCTCTTGGTGCGGCACTCTTTTGAAGGGCACACAGTGTGTTAGCAGACGGTGCCGAGCGACACTTGCGAGAGGAAGGGGCTTCTGATTGGTTCCTTCTCATTCCATGCACAGCTGGCTGCCAGGGGTGTGGCATGTGACATTTGAGGGCACCTCCCAGCATGCAGGCCCTGGGCGGCCCAGCCATAGCCCTTCTGACACAGACAGTGGGCTCCCAGGGCCCCGCTCCTGTGGGTGTCACTCAGTGCCTCAGCCACATGTCCTCCGGAATGTGTCACCAGCTGTACAAGGCATAGATGCAAGTGCAGATGGCTCAGAGGATGTCACCATCCAGGGGCGCTGGCCAAACCTCCTGCAGCAAGGAGTCCTGGCCTTCAAGTGTTTCTTACCAGGGACAGTGCCCTCAACCTCAGGACACCCTAAACCTCTTTGGGTATAATTCTCTTGCATAGCTGATAATTCTTTATATTAAATGTTCCCTGCTCAAATAAATGATGGTGTAGTTTCTGTCCTGGAGAGCCTGGCCAATCCCTCAGGGCTGAGGTATGGGATACAGAAGGGGGCCCAGGTACTTGGTGGGAATTCGGGTGAAGTGTGAGCTGCTGTGGTGCACTGCTCCTGGGCCGAGGGCACGGAGTCTGTGACATCTCACAGGAAGAACCCCAGCTTGGGCGTCTGGCCTCAGCAAGTAAATGGAGAAGCCAGAGACAGAGTGGGCGTGGGGTTGTCTTACTCCTGGAAAAACTAGAGAGCAAAGCAAGCCATAGGTGCCTGCCCAGCCCCTGGGGAGGAGGGCAGGGCCCTGGGCTGCTCTGCGAAGCCAGCACTGGTTGCGCACAGCCGGCTGCCTCCCTCCTGCAGGGAGCGGTGAGCCCCACCCAGGCTGACTGTGCCCTTCCCATCTGAGAAAGTGTGCAGGGTTTGGGGGACTTTCAGGCATCTGTTGGGTGCTTGCTAGTGGCGCCTCCCCACCCCCGTCTCCCATAGTGAGGAAAGTCCTTTTGGGGAGGCTGGACCCTGTTCCTCACATTAGAACCCTGTTCCTCACTGATATTTGAAGGCTGTAACCTTGAGCACATTGTCTCTTATGCCCCAGCCTCCTCATTTGAAAAGTAAAGGTGCCCACATTACCTTCTTTCCTTGCAGGGAGAAGGGCTTCCCAGATTCATTGAATGGTGGAGCCTGGCTTCCCATCTTGGATGTGCCTCTGTCAGTTGGCTGAGGAATTTTTTGTTGTTCTGGTGTTGCTGTGGTTGTAGGCGTGCTGTCTGCTGCAGCCTCCTGGAACAGGCTATGGTCTCATCTCTGTGCGGTGTGAATGTGCCCAGAAAGGCACACTGAAGCGCGGCCTGTTGCCCCCTCCTACCAGCTCCTGACCTGGCAGCCCAGGTCTGCTCATCAGCAGGTAGGGCTGACTCCTCCCTCTGGGCTGGTGCAGGGTGAGCTCAGATGCACAGGTGGTCAGACCGTGCCATCCTCTGCCACTGCTGGTTAGGGCACCCTCCGCTCTCAGGAGCCCCAGCCCTGGGCCTGGGAAGGCTGCCTGGCCTTTCTCCTTCTGAAGTGGGCTCTGTGGCCAGGCCCTGCTGGGCTGGGCCTCATGGCAGCTTCTGCATTCTGACAGAGGGTCCTGTCCTTTATACCCACCAGGCATGCAGCAGCCCTAAGACAGGGCCAGTGCAAGGCTCAGTGGGCACACTCCAAGGAGCTATTAACCACAAGGAGATGAAAACAGGACATCTCCCACCCGCAGCCTTGCAAAACTCAGGCTGCAGGATCCGCCCTGGGGACTGCAGCGATTGGCCATGCAGTGCATCCTCTGCCAGCTTCCTGAGCTGCCTGTGGGAGGATACTGAGAAATAACTAGTGTGAGACACTCACCTCTATCCCTGGAGGAGCTGGCAGACCACATGCACCTCTGTGACCGCCTGGCTGCGGCTTAGGGTGTGGAGAAACCGTCTCGAATGAGGTAGCCAGCAAGTAGCCTTTTTCATTTTTATACTGACACAGGGTTTTGCTGAGTCACAAAGTTTCCAAGTCTGGCCTCACACGCCTGATCCCCTTTGCCTCAGCCTCCCGGAGTGCTGGGATTACAAATCTGTGCCCCCACGCCTGGCTTAGGAGGGTACCTGTTTTAAGATCTACTGCATAGCATGGTAGCCATAGTTAATAATAGTATATGACACATTTCAACATGGAAAAGAGCAGAATTTAAAACATTCTCAATGCAAAAAAATAAGTGACACATTGTATGCACTGGCTATAGTTAGCCATTCTAGCAATCTGAACATCACTGCTGCACCCCATAAATATCCAGGCAGCCCTTCTCACCTTGGGGCTCCACAGGCATAGATCCCACCAACCCCGGACTGAAGAGTACTAAAAATGAATTGTGCTGGAACTGAACATGTACAACTTTTATCTTGTTTTGCAGCTAAGCTTATTCGTACACTTCAGGTACAGACAATGGTCACATTCATCAGAAGGAATCTGTAGCTGAGCACGAGATAGCTTGATTCTTTTCCCATTCTCCTACTCTCTCTTCAATCCCTCTTCTCTTTATTTATACAACCTTTGTTTCCATTTTTTCTTGTTTCATTTTTTTCTTCTTCCTTTCTTCCTTCCTTTCCCCCTTTCCTCTCCCTGGTTCCCCTCCCAACCCAAATACTTGTTTTTCTATTTCACAGCATCTGATGTATGCCAGGCATGGGGGTGCACATCTGTAATCCCAACACTTAGGAGAATGAGGCAGGAGCGTTGCTGTGAGTTTCAAGCCAGCCTGGGCTAGATAAATGAATTTAAGGCCAGCCTGGACTAGATAGTGAGACTCTACCTAAAAACAAAAAACAAAAAAGCTAAACACATTTTGATCCTTATTTACTCTTTCAGCTTCTTACGCTACAGAAACTATGCAGTATTTGCACATGCATCTGATTTATTTCACTTACTAGCATAGTCTTAAGGTGCCTCCATTTAGCTAGAAATGTCTCAAACTTATCCTTTTTGTGGCTGCGTAGTGCTCCACTGAATAAAAAAAATCACATCTTCTTTATCCGATCATTGGTTGTTGGGCAGTTGGGTTTAGCCACTGCACACTCTGCTTATGCAAACATGGGTGTGATGTATCACTGGGGTAAGATGTTTACTCTCAGAGCATATGACTGGGTCCACTGAACCCATCCCTTAATTTTCTACTATAAATTTGTACTTTAGTGTTATAGTAGCTGGCTGTGTCTCAGTACATTTCTCTGAGGGATACAGGAAACAGTATAGGTGTTTACTCACTTGGAACAATGAAAGGTAAAGAGTGCGCATGTGTGCAGGTGGCAAAATCGGATTTGGACTCACCCTTGTGCTCTGTGGAGCAGTTACTGTGTATGTTTATCTGAGCATCACAGAGGGTTCAATAGACCCACGCAACTCCAGGATTTGTTTCAAAAAAGTTTTCTTTTGATTTTACTTATAGAAGTAGCCTGATTTAGTACAATGGCACATGCAAAACCAGATTTGCAAGTTTTGGAGAAGGTCAAGAGTGAATCATCAGATTACGTGCATGGATGGTGATAGTCCTTTAGGGTAAAATACCTGCTTTTGTAACAGAAGAATAGCGTGGTGGATGACGATGTTGACTTTGACAGTGGCCATGTGAGCCAGTGTTCCTGTGACAGTGAAATGGAGCAAGAATCAACAGGTAGCCAGCCGGGTGTGGTGATGCACATCTATAATCCCAGCACTAATGAGGCTGAGGCAGGAAGATCATTGTGAGTTTAAGACCAGCCTGAGTTACAAAGTAAGCTCAAGGCCAGCCTGAGCTGCATAGTGAGACCCTGTCTCCAAAGAGTCTAACTGTAACAACAACAAAAAACAAAACCAAACACACAAAAGTGAATCAATAGATATAGATGCAAGGAATACACGCCTCCTTGATTCAAATGACAAAGAAAATGACAATGTGTCAGGCTGGTGAGATAGCTCAGTGGTCTAAAGTGCCTGCTTAGGCAAACTTAGGCAGGTGCAGGGACCACAGTTTGATCCCCGGAACGACGTGCCATGCCAGCCCCAGCCCCAGGGCAGGCTGAGCCGGCCACACACACACACACACACACACACACACAAAGAAAGAAAATGACAATGTTACACCTTTGTTAAAATGTTGCAAAGTGGTCACTCAACCAATTGTATCATCCAAAGTCAGAACAAGGTCTGAAAATAAAGTAAAGGTCTAGGCAGGGGTGAGATGTATTGGACAGAATGCCAGCCCTGCTATTCAAGGTTAGAAATTGTAACAGACAAAATGCTACAAGATGCTATAAAACACACAAAGGCTGAAATGCAAGTAAAGTGTTCTGTATGTACCAATAGCCGTATTCAAAAATATAATCATGGGCTGGCCAGATAGCTCAGTGGACTGAAGCGCCTGCTTAGGCAGATGTAGAGACCAGGGTTTGATCCCTGGCATGCCATGCTAGCCGGTACAGGAACGTAAAAGCTTTATAGAAAAAGGATGGGTTTACTGCCAAGTAAAAACTGTAAAAAATAAATAATTGTAAAAAGAAAGAAAAAAGAAAAAGAAAAACGATGGGCTGAAAATTTATGCCCTTGGAGATGCAAAGGATTATTATGCTTTCAGTTTAGACATTTATCCTGGAGCTCAGCCACTGGTACCTTATTCATAGAGTAATATACTGAGTAATGTTACGAGCAGACTTGTTGCTCTCATCTTCCAAACTAATCGGACTGTGATATTTGACAATTGGTTTACCAGTTTCCAACTGATTCGCTAATAGAGCACAAGCTGGCCAGTGCAGGAACTGTACACAGGAACAAAGCAGAAATTCCAAATGAAATGTTGAAATTTCAAAACATATTTGTAGAGTTCAATCTTTAAATTTTAGAAAGACATCCTATTAGCTTCATACGTGGCAAAGAAAAGAAAATGTGTTGCTGATGTCACCATTGCGCCATGATGGAAATGTTGTTAGGGAGTCCTTGACAAAACACAAGCTTGAGATGGAAATTCTCAACAACAAAACTGAATTTGGAGCAGATGTTGGTGAGCTACGCAGCGACTATGGTGTCACTTGAAACAGAAAGCATTGGCCAATGGTTACACTTTACTTGATCCTAAACATGCGTGGCATAGTTTGGTAGTTTACAAAGAAAATAAGAAGTGCAAAATAGGAGAAATTTTCTTGGAGGACTGGGACTGGAGCTCATAAGAGATCATTTATAGGTGAGGAACACCAAAATATTTCTTCCCAGGGAATGATGAAAAGCAAAATTGTGGAGCACACTGGTGAGTTGGCAGGTGAGCAGGCAGGTGCAGCATCACAAAGACCTATTATGACAGCAGGAAAACAGAAAGGATGTCAACTGGGCCCTACGAGGAAGTACAGGAAAGCAAAGCATGTGTACCATCAGCGTAAGCAATACCTGTCGAAGGAACATACAGTTGGCTGGTGTGAAGACTGCCTTGGATGCGGCAGTTGAAGCAAAGCTTATTTATATGGGAGGCTTTTGTGTTTACATTGTAGTTCACATATGTATTTATTTATTGTATTTTTTTAGG